GAAAAAAAAAAAAGCCTGGCATGGTGCCACACACCTGTAGTCCCAGCTACTTGGGAGGCTGAGGAAATCATTTGTACCTGGAAGGCAGAGGTTGTAGTGAGCTAAGATAATGCCATTGCACTCCAGCATGGGCAATAGAGTAAGACTCTTTCTCCATAAAAGAGAAATTGTTGAGCAGTGTCTGGCAGAGAGTAAGCTCAAATATTTCCTGGGCAGAGTATTGTGCTCTGCATTCAGAATATTATCACTTCCAGAAATCTGAGAGGAGATAGCTTGGCATAATGGTTAGGAACTTGGACATTGGAATCAGGCTGTCTTAGTCTGAATCCTTGCTTTGCCAGTCGGTAGCTGTGTGAGTTTTGGCAATGTGCTCAATGTCTCTATACCTCAATTTTTTTTCATATATAAAATAGGAGATTAGTTGATATATCTGTTGTAGGGGGTTAAATACATAATAAAGGTAAAGTTACATATCTGTGCCTGTCTCATAAGATATGTTCAATAAATAGAAGTTGATGCATAACTTTAATGCAGCAGGTGAGTGTCTGATAATCAAATCATTCAAGAGTTATATGAACCTGGAAAAAATGTAAATTGCCTACAGAGCTGGGCAAAGCTATAAGGCTGTGCCATGGTGCTGATCATTTAGGATGGGTAAGATTTCCAGGCAAAAAAGGAAAAGAATATTCCAAACTGCAGAAAGAGTTAGCTGAACAAAACAGTTTGGTGTGTCTATATCCCAGTATTCAAGGAAGAGAATGGTAGGAACATATATTCTATTTCCTTAAGCATGATTGACTGAAGTCCCTCCATATAGAAGTAAATTCCATGTTCAGATGAGATATATTGGTTTAGACATTTGACTTCTCTCATAAAACATGGTGAATTTTTTATATGTTTGAGTCTCCTAACTTATCATAGCACCTTAAAATCTGGGACCATGACTTGGCTATTTGTATCTCCACAACAGTACCCAGGCCAAGTATTGGGAATACAGTAATTGTTTGATAAATTTTTGTTGTGAGAATGAGTGGACTGATGAATCAATATATATTCATTTTGAAGACTATATGTGCAATAATTTTCTATGGTGGAAGAGGGTTAGAAGATACTTAGTTCTGACTTCACTACATATTTCTCAAATACATCATTTCAGTGGATCTTTAGAAGGAAAAGCAATGGATTCAAGATTCCATGTTACTGCCTGGGTACTGTGATGTGCAAGTGCCATCTACCAGTACTTCCAAGGATGGCCTCCAGAGTAATGTATTTTCATTTTTTGTTGAAGCTCAATAAAAAGTGAAAATACCTTAATCGGGAGGTCATCCTTGGGTGCACTGGTAGGGGAATAGATAGATATATGAGACAGAGAAGGGAGGGAGACCAAAATGGTTGTGATTATGAAGTTACCACTGTATGAAACTTTGCTTCTGTCCCACTGGTGACCTCTTAGGGAGAGTGCAGAGTAAGCTTCAGGTTTATTGCACCTGATGGGTCAGGAAGCTAGAGTATTTACCTACCAATTTATGTCAGTCTTGATGAGGCTGCTTCCAGAGGTGTTAACTCTGCAGCACTCTAGCCTGTCCAGTATGGAAGACAAATGTGCTGCACACATTCAGGGAAAACTTTTAGGCAGAGATACAGAGGATTGTAATAGGAGGCCATATGCTGAGGGGATATGGATATTTTCTCTGCTATTGTCCATACATTGCCCACACATTGCACACTCAGGTTCATCCCCACTGCATGCTGAGTTCACTCTGTCCTTTCACTGATTTTCCGAGGAAGTCACTGGCCACAATTCCATGGAGACAGAAAGACAGAGAGAGTTAAAAAATACTAACAGGAAGGTTGGTGGGATAAGCTACTTTCTCCAGTGTTATAGTTAATCCTGAGACCATAAGTGATGCCATAATTAATATTCATCATTTCCCTCCCCTAACATTTTCATTCCCTTGACCAAACTGCTTCTAATCAAGGTTCATTTCATAGCGCAATAACTCAGACATCTATCCCTGAGAGTATGAGTCCCTGACTTCTTGTCCTCATCAAGACGTTGCTGCCCTTTCAGATGTCACCAGGCATGGGGCATCAAGAGGCACCCCAGTGAATCCCATGAGTTCCAGACACACTACTTTCTGCTCCACTATCTAGTAGCAAGCCCATTTTCTTTTGATCATTACTGTGAATAACCCTTGTCTGTCTAGTAACTACTTTCTCTAACTGCTGGTCTATAGACCAGAGGAGCCAAAAATAATCAGACCGCAGCTGAAGCTAAAGATTTATTGTGACCCTTACTGTGTCTTCTGGTAGGAGTATTAAGATCTCTAATTATGGACAACCTGAAGTTGTGGCAAGGAGAAACTCATTTTCTTAGGAGGATTATTAAAAGTAACAGTGAGAGGCTGTACTCCTACTTAGCTGTCTAAGACACAGAATCAAATATATTAGCACCATTTAATAGCCTGACACATAATGACCCTTAACCATGGAGGAAAACATTCCCATAAAAACACAGCAACATCTCTATAATCTCAAGCTTGGTCAACACAGATGGTCACTCCTGAGCTTCATTGATGCCGGTATCCCTCTTTCGAGAACACTTCTTGCTTTAGTCAAGTGATTGTCTTCTAGGCTTTCCTGGAGAACATGATCAGCCGGCAGGTTCTCCAACCTTTCCAAATAAGTATATTCTAACATTCCCGCTTCTATCAGATCGTGGATCTCTTCTCCAGTATTTTGCCAATGTAGTTCTTGCATGTCCACATCATTTATTTCAGGCCGGTATCATTTTTAAGCTTCAAGGAACCAAGCCATTCTAATAGCGTATCAAGATCAACACCAGGTAGACTTGCCAGAATGTTAAAAATTAACTCATGAAAGCATTTCCTCATATAAGTAGAGTATCTATTATCTGGCCTTATCGCCATGATCCACTATCTCAGTATCTCGAGACCAATTCTTTGGAATATTCTCTATTCCTCCTAATACTTATTAGCCAGATCCTGTAGTTCATCTGATGAATAATTCATTTCATCCTGCAACACAGATCATCCTTTTCCACTCAGATCATGCCGAGATTTAGCCATAGTTATTTATCCAGAAGCAATGAGGGGAAATGGGGCAGAACTTAATATGGGCAACCCTCACCTTAAAACTTCCTACTGAGGCAGGGCTTTTATGTAGCAATTAACTGTTCTCCCACTGAAAAGAGTAAAAGCCCTGTTTTTCTAGATCAGAGTTTCAGAAGAATTTGTGGGTTCAAAACTCTTAAGAATATGTACCCACATATCTCATCCTCTATCTCAGAATCCTGCTACTTTCCTATGAGGGCCTTGACTTTAGTAGAGAAAACTTGGTAGCTCTGTTAACCTGGCATCTTTTACAACTCTGCCTCTCTTAAAATCAAATCTTGGGCATAATTTTCAGCAGTCTATCTCATAGCTAAAGGAAATGAGGGTCATTGTGATTGTTGCTTGGAGCTGTTCAGTTTTCACATCACATGCAAATTAAATGTTGGTTGATCTGAGCCCCTGTTTTTAAAGCAGCATTCCTATAGCCATTAACTCCACAACTTCATGTCTTTCAAATGCACAAGTAACTGCATTTCCCTCCATCTATATTCTATCCACCTGATGACAACCTTTGTAAGTATGGCACTACAGCTTGCCAGAGATTAGCTCCACTCCATTGTCCCTGCTATCACCTGAATGGTGAATGATTCAATTCAGAAAGCTGATACCAAGGATCTGTTTTGAAGGTCCATCTCTGTGCCAAATAATTTAGGTTGGGTCACCTCATAAGGAGACCCTGAGACAAGGATTTCTGTGAAAGTAGTTTATTTAGGAAGTGAAGCCAAGAAGCACCAGTAGAGGAAAATGGAGAAATGAGGGAAGGAAAAGAAGTCAATAAATAGTGAGTCAACTGAGAAGGATACCTGTGGGAACCAGGAGCTGAATCCCACTAGGGACCTCTGAGAGACCGCACGGAGCATGCCTTGGAATTGTCCTTCCTGAGGGACAAGGAAGCTAGGGTATTTATTCCCCAATCCTTGCTAGCAGTACTTCAGAGCTTCTCCTAGAGACATGAACTTCCTGGTACTTCGAAGTGCAATCCTGCCTCATGAAAACTGCTCCCAAGGCCAGAGATTGCCCTCGGGGAAAGGATCACAAACATTTACAAGAGGATGCCACATGGTTGGTGCTTAAGGAAACACTGAATGTCACAAGAATATGGGTAGGATGTCAAAACACATCCTATACAAAAGATACGATCCTTGGACTGGGTGCAGTGGCTCGCGCCTGTAATCCCAGCATTTTGAGAGGCCAAGGTGGGCAGATCACAAGGTCAAGAGATTGAGACCATCTTGGACAACATGGTAAAACCCCATCTCTACTAAAAATACAAAAATTAGCTGGGCATGGTGGCAGGTGCCTGTAGTCCCAGCTACCTGGGAGGCTGAGGCAGGAGAATTGCTTGAACACAGGAGGTGGAAGTTTCAGTTAGCCAAGATCATGCCACTGCACCCCAGCCTGGGTAACAGAGCAAGACTCCATCTCAAAAATCAAACAAAAAAATGACTCCTGTCAGTGTATTACAAAAATTGACATAAATTAATGACGTTAAAAAATAATAGCTACCTGCATATAACAGCACCGCAGCCATTGTGTAAAGTGTCACAACGCATGTTTTGTTGTTTCTTCTTATGTTGATTAATCTGGCACCTTTCTTTACCAGAATGTATAAGGACATATTCCTCTGACTAACCAAAAGAAATGCATATGCACTGTATACTCTCTGGCCTAAATGTCAATATGAACAGTAAATTCAGATGGCATAGACTCATTCCAGTTTTAATAGTGCCCAGCAGTTTATTTAAGCATACATTTCTCATTTCCTTCTTTAAATAAGATTTTGGAAACGGATCTTGAGAACCTTGTTCACTTTGTCAAAAAAAAAAAAAACCCCTTCACAATAGTAAGAAACTTAAAGCACTTTCATAAATAGGGAAACAGCAACTTTTAATGTTTTATTGTTCGCTTGTGAAATATATATATAATATATATTACATGTACAGAAGAGTCCCACATCTGAGTCAGAGAAAACTAACAGAAAGGCACATAAGAAGGCATGTGTTTTCATACAATTTTCATTAAGCGAACATTCAGGCCATGGCAAGTGAGAGTTAAGACAAGGAATATATAGCACACTTGTGTTCATGACTCCAAGGGGCTAACTCAGAGGCAACTCTTAGGTCTGCCAAGTATGGAGATCATCTTGGGAGAAAATAGCACTTCTATTTAATAGGCCTGTCAGACCATCAGAAAATATATTGAAAACTGGACAAAGGCACCAGGGAAAGGTGAAAGCCGATGCTTAACTTGACAGCTAGTTTGCTCTTCTCCCCTTCCATTTTAAGACCTGAGGCCTTTGCTGATTAAAATAAGCAAATAACAGGGCTGACTGCAGCCCTGCAGAATTTTGGTCAGCTACATGACAGAAGTTTGTAACACGCTAAATACTTTTCAAAGCTTGTAAACACTGTGATGATGATGAGGAAAGCATAAAGAGAACATTTGCTATTTCTCTCTCATTGAAAAGGTAGAGGCTTAGATCTCTGGCTTGCCACATGTGGTTTCTCTATCCTGACGTTTACTCAAAAAGTTATAGGCAGAATTCATGGAATGATGAGGTCATTCCTATCAGACACCAGAAAAGGTGCCTACTAGGATTTGGCACAGCCAGAGCAGCTGGCAACCTTGGCTGATGTGAGATGGGGCTTCACGACGTCCGGCTCAATAGACTCCATTAGGTCACACTCATTTGCAAGTATGTGTTTCACCAGGCATCTGGAGGCTTCATCAATGTTTATATTTTCCTATGAGGGAAAAAATAAAACAGATTTTCTTATTCAGTACTCTGAAGTAATGCTAGAGCAGAGACTTATATGTGATAAATCACTTAAATATTGCATCCTATATGTGACATGTACATCCCCCTACTGTTCCCCTTGCTCTTACTTGTTCCTTCAAAGAACTCTCTTTCAAAGAACTTTTTGGTTCCTCACAAAAAAATTATTTATTTTGCTGTGTCATATAAGAGGAATGGGGTTTGGTGAATTTACTTAGTAGGTTAAATTTCAGTTAGAAGGCACTTTTCTTATTTTCACATTGTCCCATACTCAAACTATAATAATATTGTCGAAGAAACATAAGCATTTAATCTGACTTAGATGTATAATTGCCATCTGCTACATATTATTTTTGTGACCTTGATTTAAAATAAGAATGACAAGACTTTTTATTGCATTCAGTAACGGTTTCACACATATTTTTGGGTTTCTGTCCTCCAGTTAAATGGGGAAGAGTGTGCCCTGTTCTGACCTCTTTGAACTTGGGCATGGACAAGTGATTTTCTGGCCATCAAAATGTGATAAGTAATGTGTGTCACTTGCATACAAAAGCAATAAGAGCCAGTGCTCAATTTCCCATGCTTTTTCTCTCTGTGTCTTCTTGTGCAAGCACAGCAATGGAAACTCTTTCGGATAAGGTCTGTGAGTGAGAATCAAGGAGAGGCAAGTATCCCGACCAGCCCATGCTGTGTCGTGTGCATGAGAATGATGACCTTGTTATTTTAACCCGCCCAGATTTGGGAGTTTTACCCCAAATAAACCCTGAAATTATCTAGACTTTCCAGATGGATATAACTTTTCAAAGAAAAAAGTAAAATTGGAAATATAAGTTTAGTTTCAAAAATGAAACTTGAATTTGGAAAACATATGGAACAAACATTTGAATCTAAAATATATCAGTAGTATAAGTTAAACTGACTTTTTTTCCCTGCTGGTTAGGAACCTTAGAAATACAGAATATATACTACCAGTGTACTACAATAAATATCTTTGCTTAGGTAAAAAGTGGTTAAATGAAGATCTCTAGTAAAGTTAAATTTGAATGTTTCTAATCACAATTTGTAGAACTTATCTATTTCTTCATATTTAATGTAAAGAAACAAGACTTTCTCATTGTTAAACTGTTGTACTACAGAACCTTGTTGTCCAATCTGAAGTAGAAGTACTTATCCCTAAGTTTCGAACGTATGTCAAAGTTGTTGATATATTTTGAGATCACTGATTGAAATCATATTACTTGGAAAATATACGAAGTGGTGTTGATTTCTAAATGGCATCCATGACTAATGACCTCAGTTGTAAATGTTCATTAGCAGGTTCCCCATCCTTCAAGCCTGACACTGAGTTGACCAGCTATGAAAGCTTAAGGTAACTTTGGAGTTGCCGACAAATAGCCTGATTATTTATCTCTCGAGAGCCTTAAAGAAAATGCTTCCCAGGGTTCCTAAATCCAAAACACAAGGTAAAGGCGTGGTTGTCTTTTTGCTTATAAAATTATCATTGTTGCTCTTTACCAGACCAGTCTTCGTTTCTCTAAGCCTCCCTTTCCTCAACTGTAAAATGGTCTTGATGATAACACTTACCTAATAAAAATTTGCTTCCCTTGACAGAGTGTAGCAGACATTACTGCTTTCACAGTGTGAACTTGCCAGGGACTTCAACAGTAAATAAGTAATCTTATTTAATCCCATTTAAAACCCTGTAAGATAAAGATTAGTTTTTGTCCTCATGAATTTTGTTGTTATTGTTGACGTAGGGTTGGGGATGGCATTTCTTCCCTCAGCTCAAGTATCTTCTTCACTCCATAGAATCCAGTCCTGAGAGAAGAGCAATACTTCTGCCCCATCGCCTGTTGGGCAACTTCACGTGCCTTAAAGTCATTGCCTGTGCTTAGCATGCCCTCTGCCACTCTTCCTCTTCCTAGTGTCATGTCCAAGGGTCACACTTGAGCTCCCTGCTCCCAGGCAACCAGTGACCTAGGCAAGGCCTTGCTCTTTGGAACAGACCCAGCTCAACACTTTTCTCTGGAGCCCTGCCACTTGCTATGTGACTGAGCGGAAGCCTGTCCAGTGAATGGTCCCCTACTCTCTCCCATTCGGGAAGGTAAAAATCGGTCAGCTCACCCAGCCTTCCAGGTCTTTGCCTTAAGGACCACCACATGTCATTAAAGAAGCCCTATTTGGATGGTTTTAAGGTACTTGTCTGGACATTCATAAGCCAGTACTTTGATTCCCATTTGGCTATTGCTTGTGTGTTGGAGAAGGAGGCAACAAAATTCTACCCCAAATACCAAACATGAGATATTGCCATATATGTTTATAGACAAGGAAGCTTATCTGTAAGGGGTTAAGAGGCTTCCCCAGGATCACACAGCAAGGAGGTTGGGAGGCCAGAGCTTATAGTGGGTCTTTCTGACATCAAAGCCCAACTTTTGCTAAGCTGCATTCCTTTTCCAGATTGTTCAAAAAATCAGGAACAATCAAAAATAAAAGTTAGTTCTTTAGTGTTAGACCCAGTATATGTTAAATAGATGCTAGTTTCTTTCTCTTCCATATATTATAATAAAAACATTTTTATATGGCAGAAAAAAACATTTAAACATTAGAAAGGGCCTTCTTCATATATGATGAAAGTTAGATTTGCCAGTAGTATTTTTTAATCCTCTGCTCATATATTAACATGCCAGTTAAATAGGGTTTTCCTTCATTAATTGGCAAATTGACAAAATCTACTAATGAGGAGAATTCAATGCTAGTGTGGAAAAATCAATGAAAATCCTTAATCATTATGAGAAGAAGAACTAAGATCTAAGCCCAAATTAGTGGCAACTTAGCAGGGTCATTTCAGTAAAAATATAAGATGATGCTGTTTAAATTATGAGTTTTAACACAGCAAGTAAAGTCTAGATGGTATTAGGCCTAGGAGAGCAGGACCATGAAGGATGGGCTCTAGAGAAAGGAAACAGGCTTACAGACTGCAGATACGAAGAGTAGCAGCTCACGGTGACTGAGTCAGTTTCATTCATCCAATTAATAGTATTTACATTACCACTAAGTAAAGTACTAGGCATACACAAAGATAATACATCTCATTCCTGACTGAGCTGACCCACAAGCTGGGTTTATGTAAATAGCAAAAGCATAAAAAGGTTGGAAAGGGCACCTGGGTGCCAGATCCCTGTAGAGCCTTGAATACTAAATTTGCCAAGTAGCTTGAGCCATTGAGGGTTTTTTGCAGGTGAAATGTCAATAACCACAATACTCTAAAAGTCCATTACTAGACAAGCGTGTATCGATCCTCAGCACTTTAACAACTAACCTATCAGTAAGTATTTAGTGAATACCTATCATATGTACCCAGGTGCTGGCTGTCATGGCATACCTATTTCACATTAGAAATTTTAAGAGAAAACGAGGAAGAATTGCAAACGCTTTCCACTATATTTACCACAAGCACACTATAAAAAGACAAGAGGTATAGTGTCTGGATTACAGGCCTGGAGACAAGCCCTTATCTAATTCCCCTAGTTTCTGGTTATATGACCTTGGGAAAGTTACTTTAACCACTTCATTCCTCAGTTTTCTCATCTGTAAGAGAATTAAAAATTTACCTCACAACTGATTGTAAGTTAATATATGTTAATACTTGAAACATGAAATACTCAGAACAGTGAAGGGCATACAGTACATACTCAATAAATGCTATCTGTATATTCTCCTCACATAATTTAATCATCAGAAGAATACAATGTGTGTTTTCCATTCCTTCATTTTCCAGTGAAGGATTCTGAGGTTCAGAAAGCGAAAGTGACTCACCCCAAGTCACCCCCTAGTAATTGGGATGGCCAGCTGTTAGCTCAGGGAGAATAATAAATACTAGTATTTACCATGTGTTATATCTATACTGCAAGATGTATACTGTTTAAAGCACAAACTTGAAGCCAAACCTGTATCTCACCTCCCCTAAAATATTTCCCAGAATAAAAAAAGGGGCAGAATGAGCAGAACACCTGATTCCAGCATGCAAGGCAGGAGCATGCAACCAGGAATCAGCAAGGCTGATTTTATCACTGGTACACTTCCAAGCACATCTGGTCTTTCTGACTTTCTATACACCATTGAGCTCACAGCCAAAGGGCCTATACTAGAAGAAGTAGTAACAATATAGAACAAACATCCCTCTCCCCCTTAACCCGAGGTCAGCATGGATAGTCAGAGCCTCCTTGACAGAACTGCAGGTTCAGACCCTTTGGGCAATTAGATTTCACTATAATTGATTGAGCTACTTGGCATTCAAATAGACACAGTCAAGCCCACATTTTCTGGGTGATTTTAGAGACACAGAGTTGGTGGCTCAAGTGAAAAACACTACGTGGAAATTTTTATTTGCATTTATTATAGGGAGTAGTCACAACATCTCCAGGAGCATCTACTGCTAGAAAGGAAATGTATATACTCTGTGACTTCCAGAACATGTACATTTGGACTGCATCTCACTGCTATTTATTTCTATATCTGCAGTATGACAAGATGGTGTATTATGCTGAATGCTTTAAGGTGGTGTATGTTCTTTATTGTGCCACTGCTCAGAATCTTTTGTTTATACTGATAAGCAAGTCTCAGAAACAGGCTTAAAATTCCTAATGAAGAATTTTACTAAAAACAAATGGAGTTAACTAAGCACGTGCTTTATTCATGAAATAATGCTCACATCCAATATTCACAAACATCTATGGAGAGTTAATAGTCATATTTTAAAGGTAAGGGAGCTAGAAAAAAGCTTAAGTAACTTATCCAGAGCATAACATAATCTTAGCCAATCTATCATTTCAACCAAGACAATCCCAACTCCAGTTCCCATCCTACTCCTTACACATAACATTACAATGTCTCCTAGAATTAAAATAGATCCTAGAATATTATTTATAAATTGTACCTTCTCAATTCTAGCTGTATATTCATATCCCT